ATTGTTTTGCATAGCTTAGCAGCATAACCTTTGTGGTTGTGAGAAAATGAAGACTGCCAAGCCAATATAGTATCAGTAAATGATCTATTTCCTAGCCAACACCAGCTTCTTTTTCAAAAGATAAACTTGGTTTAGGCCTAGAATTCCCATTTTACTATATTAATCTATCGCTCATTACATCTGAACTGTTGTAGAAGGCTGCAGTAAACGAGAATGAAATTATTCCTAAACTATCTTACGTTCCCAATATTGCACCAGGATTAATGGACTTCATGTGCAAAAGGAGACATTAAAAAAAAAAAATCAAACTGCCCAGGTAGAATTTGAATTTCAGGGCACTGAGTTCCAGGGCAGCCTATACAACTCCTAAAATATTCACCAAGGTTATTTATGCATTCCACTGAAGTTCAAGTTCAAGTTATTCATCAATAAGGGATTGATGGAGGTCTTGCACACCAGTTAAGGACCAAGGTTGTGTAGAAACCCCAAATTAATTGAGAACTTAACTTGAAAATAGTGCTAGAAGTTCAGTGGCCCTCCCCATCAAAGAACTACATTTCCCAGGATTCTCTAGGAATGCTTTTTACAGATTGGGGCATTGAAATTTCAAATGTTCTGCCCACCTCTTCATTACAAAGCAAAGATTATGTCCCTCAACCATTCTTCTCTAACTCACAGTGGCTCACTCTCGGGTATTATGCATCTCACAATATCCTAATAATATATTCTTCAGGGGAACAAAGTTTTGAGAACAAGTGAGTTCTCCTTTGCTGAAGGTACATTAGGACAGCGGTCCCAACCTTTCCAGATTGGCAGTCTGATGGGGAAGGAAAGGGGATGATTTTGTGCGAGTGGCAGGCCCGTGCGCAGTTCCATTTGCACAATGAAGCTTCATGGGCAAGCGTGTGCACCTGTGGAAATGGAGCTTTGTGCCCAAACACACATGCCCGCTGCTTGTGCAAGGGAAGCTGCGCACTCACCTGCCCCTTCAGCAGCCCAGTTTTAAATGGGCCACGGCCCGATAGTGGGCCGTGGGCCTCTGCATTAGCACATTATGTCAGCATTCTTACCTGCAGACTTTGCACAGATTTCTCTTGCTAAGGAAGTATATTGTTAAGAGCTCTTTCTTTTCTTTGCCGAGAACAGAAATCTAGTCTGTAATTCATAATTGCTCATTTCCTCTCCCAACAAAGTATTTTAATACAATTATTATACCAAGCTGGAGGCAGCCGTGTCTTGGCTGATCTCAAAATGCTAAGCAGGATCAGGCATTAATATTGAGAAGGGGGAAACCAGTTAATAGACAGAGAATAGAACAGAATAGAACAGAACAGAACCGAATAGAAATAGAAATAGAATAACAGAGTTGGAAGGGACCTTGGAGGTCTTCTAGTCCATCGCCCTGCTTAGACAGGAAACCCTACACCACTTCAGACAAATGGTTATCCAACATCTTCTTAAAAACTTCCAGTGTTGGAACATTCACAACTTCTGGAGGCAAGTTGTTCCGCTGATTAATTGTTCTAACTGTCAGGAAATGTCTCCTTAGTTCTAGGTTGCTTCTCTTCTTGATTAGTTTCCACCCATTGCTTCTTGTCCTACCCTCAGGTGCTTTGGAGAATAGCTTGACTTCTTCTTCTTTGTGGCAGCCCCTGAGATAAAGGGGCTTTTCTACTGAGAATCTCAACGTTTGAAAATCAGCAATAGTAAACACTTCCGTATTCTTAGCAAGATAATCCCATGAGTTTGTCTATGTCATCAAAATGAGTTGACTGAAGAGAAACTTGTCCTTTGATTTTCCTTTGAAATCCACAATATCCCAGTGCCTGAAGAACTTAGATGCCTTACTCCAAAAATCTTCAAAAGGTTTTCAGCCTACCTAAGGTAAAGGTTCCCCTTGCACCTATGTGCTAATCGTTCCTGACTCTAAGGGGCGGTGCTCATCTCCGCTCCAAAGCCGAAGAGCCAGCGCTGCCCAAAGACGTCTCCGTGGTCATGTGGCCGGTGTGACTAAATGCCAAAGGCGCATGGAACGCTGTTACCTTCCCACGAAAGGTGGTCCCTATTTTTTTACTTGCATTTTTTATCTGCTTTCGAACTGCTAGATTGGCAGAAGCTGGGACAAGTAACAGGAGCTCACCCCGTTATGCGGCACTAGAGATTCAAACCGCTGAACTGCCCACTTTTTGATCAACAAACTCAGCATCTTAGCCACTGAGCCACCGCATCTCTCTACCTAAGGTTACCTATCCACAATTATCTATCTACTTTATGAAAACATGCTCTAGAGAAGCAGTTTCCAGACATTTCCTTCAAGCAAACTATTGCCTCACCATCCGAAGCTTTGGTAGGTTACAATAAGCCAAGAATTAGCCTTAAGAGTCTGAAAGAAATGACTCCACACCAGTTTAAAAAGTGCTTGTGGAACACCAAAATTAAATGCATATTATTTTTTTTCCAAAATCAATTGGGATGTGAACTCATTCCACAGACAGGCCCTCTGGTTTCTTCCTTGCATTCTGCAAACTGGAAATGCAACCTGTGTTATTCCCAATAGCATTGTGGCTGCGGATGCCTGGAAGAAATTTGGAAAACAAGCTGTCCAAGGATCCCAGTTTTCCCACAGCAGCCCCAAAATGATTGAATTGGGCCATAGGGATTTTAATATGCTGCGGTGTTGCAGGGCTTATATACACAAGCTGTAAACCTGGGAACAGACACCGTAAGCATTTTCTAACAATACAGTTCCATGATTATAGCAAAGGTCTCTTTAGAGTTGCAACACAGCCTGGATTGTGAAATTGGAGCAATTTTGTTAAGAGTGACAAAACAAAAACAGCTTACCTAATCAGTTTAGAAAGATCATATCAAAAAGAGAATGTAACATACGTTTGATTTTTTTTTTTTTAAAAATCACCTTCAAATATTAAAAAAGGCTATGAAGCAAGATTTTCCTTACATACCGGTAATTATAAAAATAAAACCAGCACCAAGAGACTAAAGAAAAATCATTTTTTTTACTACTGGGACACCTTCCTGGGAGCCTAATAAAAGGAATGAAAATCATAGCTTCTTCCTCCCATTTTCCTCTTTTGTGTTTTAAAACAATTTACTAGTAAATTAAAAGGAAAATGTTGAATCTGTTTAAATGTACATATTAATTGGAAACAGAGTATAAGAGGAATCGTTCTGGCTTCCATTCAGTTTGACAATAGAGAATTTGCTCTCAAAATTATTTCAAAAGAGAAGAGAATGTTGGTGAAAATCTCATGAAGTGTTGTGTGCTCACACTCATTTACTAACGAGAAGGCTCTTTTTGTGTCTTTGGGCATGAAGTCCTTTTGGATGCTATACAAGGCTTTTTGCAAGTTCCCGGAGCTTTAAATTTAATTTAATGCTTCAATTCAATCCCAAAGAGAGATTAATTCAATTCCATTCAATGCATCAGGAGGAAACTCCTTCCGAGGAGTTATTTTTGAGTTAGTCACTAAAATGGAGGAATCCTGTCCTTGAGAAATTATTAAAAGATTTTTTTTTCCTCTTCCCATGAAAGAATCCAGAGAAATCATCCCTCACACATTTGATGGAGAAATTCAAAAAGGCCAGTTGTTAAAATGGATGGGAACAGAAAGACCACAAAAAAAAACCTCTATGCACTTTTTCATCACAATGTTCTAGTTAGGTATACTGTTTTGCCTTCTTCTTCGAAAAGCCAAGAGGTAATTTGGGATGGGACGGCTGAGCAAAGATTTATGTGCTGTTTTAGATGCAGAGCAGTGGTTTCTCTACCTCTGACTACTGCAAGGCGCATGGACTGCCCTTGAAAAGTACCCAGAAACTTTTATTAGTTCAAAATGTGATGCCCAGATGGTTTTGTACAAGTCTAGATTTGCACATTTGTCACTTCTCTTGCAGATTTGCTTCCGGCTCCAATTCGTGGTGCTGGTTTCATTTTTTAAAAACCTTACATGACTTGGGACCAGGTTATTTTAAGGACCATCTTTTTTCTCATTTACATCTACCCAACCCACCAGAGCAGGGAGGCAGGGTCCCCTCTCTTATAGGGGTTCATCTAGCGCAAAACAAGAAGAAGGACCTTCTCCATGGTGGCTCTCTCCCTGTGGAACATCAAACCTGTGGGAATCAGATTGATCCTCACCTTGATACTTTCAAAAGACCCTTAAGACATGGTTCCAGGGGTGAAATCCCACCAGTTCAGATGAACCGCTAGGGATTATGAGCATCAGTTCGCTGAACCAGTAGTAATTACCCCTCCTTGGCCCCACCCACGCCCGCCGGTCGCCGCTCACCCGGCCACTCAATATTCCATAGAATTCAATGTTAAATGCAGCAGAGAGAATGCTAACTTTTCTCCCTCCATTCACAACGGAGCTGCTGCAGCCTGTTCCTTTAAAGTAGTTCCCAGGAGGGAGGGGGACCGGGGGGGGGCAGCTGGAATGGAACCGTTTTTGTGAAAGGCAGGAAAATGAGGAAGGGGATTTTCTTGCCTGTCATCCATTCCTCAATCTCAGCACAGACTGAGGGAAGGCAGGAATATTTCCCTCCCCATTTTCCTACCATTCGCGACAAGGAGTGGCTGGGAGGGGAGGGGCCGGTGAGGAACCCCTCCATGTGAGTGATGTTGAGTTGGCCACGCCCACCCAGGCACATGACCTCCCCCCAACAAGCCACACCCACAGAACCGGCAGGGGAAATTTTTTAATTTCATCCCTGCATGGTTCTGCTGGTGGGCGTAGGGACCCAAGGGTGACACAAAGCCCATCAAGCGGCTTGTCTGATTGGTGTTGCTAGGGAGTTGCTAGGTTTTGTATTTGGGGTCTTATTTCTCACAAGCTGCCTGGAGTTGCTCCCGAGTTGGACGGCTCTAAAATTTTTCTTAATACATGAATAAATATCACAGGTTTGTAGTAAGAGACAAAGGTAACAGAGGCACCGAGACCATATACAACATGATGACTTAGAGATAAAGCCACACTTACACTGAGCCTTCATTTGCTTGATCTGCTCCTTAAATAGGACAACTTTATCATTTCTTTGTAAATCAGCATTACAGTTCTTGCTTTCCAGGTTTCCGAATCTCTCCATGACTAGTTGTCTTAAATTTGGGACAATTTCTGGTTTATCTTTTTTTATCTGGGAAAGAAAAACACATAAAATAAAAGAAGACATAGATTTAAACCAGTTATTCCCAAGCAAATATCAGTTCTCTGAGCTCATCAGAAGAAAAAAAAGGCAGTGACTGTCTAAAATTCCCAGATTATTTACTTTGCTCCAATGACATTAAATTCCGGAACTGCAAGAATATGGAAATGATTACACCAACTTTACAGTCCACGCCACAATTCTCATTAAAATTGGATTAACGCACTTAATTAATGACTTGCTTTGATTCAAATGGGGAATTTTGAAATGAAGGTGCTAAAAAAAAAAATCTGCCACAAAATACTATCATAACATTGCACCATGTACACATTTTTAAAGCTTCCAGAGCAGTAAAAAAGAACGGAAGAAATGTCATCAGAAATGAAGCATTACCAGAAATTGTGCTATTGAAACTAGGCATGCTAATTCAACAGAAAGGTTAAATATTTTTTTTAAAAATTAAACAAATGGACTGAACTCACTGTGAGAAAAGGGAGAGACACTCACTGTGAGAAAAGGGAGAGACAAAGCAACATTGATTTGTATTTACCATTTTTCCCCGCCAATACATTGATAGAGACTTAATGGAGGAAGGAATGCAACCATGTCCAGTAGGAAGCATCCTCTCTCTCTGTAAAGCCTCAACCAAATGCATCAACATCTCCTTAGGATTTGCCAGATCACTACTTCACTCTGTTCTTAGATGTTTTGAAATTTTGAATTCTGCACAAAATTAAAATTTGTCCAGCCTGCTTTTAGGTAAAGGTTCCCCTTGCACATATGTGCTAGTCGTTCCCGACTCTAGGGGACGGTGCTCATCTCCATTTCAAAGCCGACAGCGTTGTCCGAAGACGTATCCGTGGTCATGTGGCCGGCATGGCTAAACACTGAAGGCCCACAGAGCGCTGTTACCTTCCCACCAAAGGTGGTCCCTGTTTTTCTACTTGCATTTTTTACGTACTTTCGAACTGCTAGGTTGGCAGAAGCTGGGACAAGTAACGGGAGCTCACCCCATTACGCGGCACTAGGGATTCGAACCGCTGAACTGCCGACCTTCTGATCGACAAGCTCAGCATCTTAGCCACTGAGCCACCACGTCCCCACAAAAGTCTGCTTTTAAAGCTACCTAAAATAATAGCCGTAGCCAAGTCTGAAGGCAACAAATTCCTCAGTACAGGCAGTCCTCAAGTTACAACAGTTCGTTTAGTAACTGTTCAAAGTTACAACGGCAATGAAAAAAGTGGCTTATCACCATTTTTCACCACTTGCGATCGTTGCAACATGTGATGGCCTTTTGCAAACTTTTGACGAGCAAAGTCAATGGGGAAACCAGATTCGCTTAACAACCGTGTTACTAATTTAACAACTGCAGGGATTCAGTTAACAAATGTGGCAAGAAAAGTCGTAAAATGGGGCAAAACCCACTTAACAAATTTCTCACTTAGCAACATAAATTTTGGGTTCAGTTGTGGTCATAAGGCGAGGATTACTTCTATAACTAGACCAGTAGTTCCCAGTCCTACTTTCTGAATTTTGACTCCCAGAATTCTCAGTAATAGATAGAATAGGTAAGCAATTCTAGGAATTGACCTATACACGAGGATAGTGTTTTTCAGCCATGGCTGTTTGAAGATATGAGAACTTCAGCTCCAGGGCTGGGTTCTAAAATTTTTTACTACCGGTTCTGTGGACGTGGCTTATTTTGTGGGCGTGGCTTGATGGTCATGTGACAATTCTTTAGGATTTAGCAGAGGTACTGGTCTACCAGGCTTTTAACTGCTTGCAGAGCTGTACCGGTCTATTCATTTGTTTTTGGAGGCACCGGTCTACCACCACACTGCCTTTTAACACTGATCAGCTATAGGGCGGCCCTTTGAAGCCTCGCGGCAAGAGTTTAAACAGTTTTTTTTCCTTCTAGCCAATCAGCTGGGACTCGGGAGGCAGCAATAGATTGGGGGCGGGGCCAAATAAAAGGTAAGAATAACGCAGAAGGGGTGGGTGGGCGGGGGGCCCAGCTCCCAAACAAAGAGAACCGGTTCGGTGATGTCATATCGTCACCGCTACCAGCTCGGTCGAACCGGGCCGAACCAGGAGGAACCCACCACTGTTCAGCTCCCAACTCCCATGCTTGCTGTGGAATTCTGGGAATTGAAGTCTACACCTTTCAAGCAGCCAAAATTGAGAAACGCTGTTTTAAGAAGATATCTAGTTTGAGGGACACTTAACTAGACTTCCTTCTTTTGACCAGTTCTGAATCTCCCTTGTAGTTTCAAGGGATGAACTGAGTTCTAATACCGAATATTGATATGAAAAATTTTTCACCATCCACGTTTTCTACATCTTCAGTTTTTATATGCCTCTAGTCTATCATATTTCCTCTTACTTGCTTTCGTTCCACAATCGCTACAGTCTTTTCTTCTCAGTTCCAGCCTACTCATTATTATAATTGCCCACACTTTTTTTTTTTTCAGTTCAACAATATCTCCTTTGAGGTTTGATGAGCAATCTATGGACTGAAACCAGTGATTCTCGTGCTAGAGACAACCATTTTGTCAGTAAAATCTGAAGACTTCCAAGTCATTAAAGGAACAACCATAGGAAGAATTATGGACTAAATCTGTAAAATGTATGCCAAGTTACAACTTAAAGGAAAATTGGTACAAAATGTTCTACAGATGATGCACAATGCCATCAAGTAATATTTATCACAGACAAATCACATAATAATAAACGTTGGAAGTGTTGTGAATCAGAAAGAACATTTTATCACATATGGTGGACATGTAAAATATCAATTTGAATTTGAAATGAAACTACAAATCTTTTTAGTAGGCATAATAATCTCAGAAAAAAAATTATCAGAAACATCATGATTTGATGAGATATATGTTTATAACAAAAGAATAAATTTTGCTGAACATTGGAAGAAAGATACAATTCCAATAATATCTTATTGGGAATTTAAACTTACGGAATATATAGCAATGACAAAACGAATATATATCTAATAGAAGTTTAATCAAATTTAAGCAAGAATGGTCTCCATACATACAATATGACAAATGAACAGATGTACAAAAAGGGAAACATTAGAAACTCATAATCCTTTTTCTTTGTTCTTCAAAATTATTGTTGGGTATTTTAATTTTTGTTAAATTAGTTCAACTTATATTTTTCCCTTTTATTAACAATATATCAGGTGTATATATCAACTTCAATACCAAGTAACTATGGTAGCTCCAGATCAAATTCTTTATTGTACAACAAATACTTTGATGTAATCTACAGCTATCTCCTCAATTTCAAAAACTAAAATTATTTAATTTTATGCTTGTGATATTGATATCATAAATTGTTATTTAATACCAACTATATACAAATAGGTAGTCCTTCAGGTAGTCCTTGAGATATGACCGTAATACAGCCTACCCATACCAGAAGACCCTACCATACCATCACTATAAATGATGGAAGAAAATTCCTCTTATGGTTTCTAAGGATTTGACAATTTTATTTATTATATTTTAGCCTGCCTTTATTACTTCATAATAGTTAATTAAAAGCAGTGAACGTATATAATATAGCCACCTAGAGTAGCCCCACAGTGAAAGAGGCGGCAAATAATTTAACAAAAAAAATTATACTTCTTCCTCTCCTATTTTCCACACAACAACTGTGGGGTGGGGTGGGTTGAGAGAGAATGAATGCCCAAAAGATACCCACCCAACTTTGATGCCTAAATTGGTACTAGAACTCACAATCTCTGGTGATTGGCCCAAAGTCATCCAGCCGGTTTTCATGCTTAAGGTGGGACTAGAACTCACAGTCTCTTGATGATTGGTGAAAGGTCACCCAGCCAGCGTTCATGCCTAGGGAGGAACTAGAACTCACAGTCTCCTGGTTTCCCAGTTTCCAGTAGTAAAGACCAACCACCTTTAGAATTAGGCCAAAATGGCTCTCAGTATAGAACAATATGTAATTTTGATTTTGATTTTTTTTTTTTATAATATAGCTAGAATAATATAGCTAGAACTCCAAGTGCACTCTAACTATAGATTTATATAAGGGATATGCTATATTATTTTACTTTCCCTTTCCCCCTCATGATTACAAGACTGGAACTTATTTTTTCTTTTCCAGAGTTACATATTGGATCAAAATTTACATGAAGCTATCCTGCACAACTTCAAAATAGTTTTCCTAATCAGTCCTGGCTAGTTCAGATCCTATTATCGGTAATTAACAGGGATATCTTGCAATCTGGAAAAAAAAATGCTATTATTTGGGGAACTATTTAAAAATGTGCAAATATCTATGAAAGCTAATACTGTATATGTTCCATGGAGATTGTATGGGAGAGAGTACTGCCCAATTTTCACCCAGTGCATCGTTTTTCAAACTTGGCAACTTTATGATGCTTGACAGTGGTGAGTTTTAATCAGTTTTACCACCAGTTCGCATTGCACGCGATCGCCATGCGCATGATCGCTTCGCTCGCACATGCGCCGAACTTGCGCTTTACGCAAGCACATTGAGAAAAAAAAACAGCTGAGGCATGGCAATCCCCTCTGCCGCGCCTGACCAAAAAACAAATGAAATAAAAGTAGGTATAGCGCGGGGGCGGGGGGAAGGGCCCAAATGATATTCAGAGCGAACTGGTTCGCTCTCCTATGAAGATTTCCACTACCGGCTCTCCCGAACCGGGGAGAACCAGTAGCAATCCACCACTGATGTGTGGACTTCAACTCGCAGAATTCCCCAGCCAGCATTGAGCTAGAAAGATCAGAGAACATAATCTAAAATCATTTTGGATGTACCCTGGAAGATTAAAATGAGCAGTAATACACATAACTTTTTTGCAACATGTGTCCTTCCTTAGCCCTAAACACTCCAAACTGGTTGTGACTGTTACTCCCCCAATTTCCCAGTCAACATGTAGGATGAGTAGTTTGGGAGTTGCAACAACAGGTCCCAACATACAGTAACCAAAA